TTCCACTCGAAATGAAAGTAAGCTCAACGATATAAATAGGATTTATTTTTCCATTTATTTCACATAGCCTTGATTTCCAAAAGGTGACTGCATCCCTTCTATGATGGACTGCAGTTTTGCTATCGCTCACCTCTTATTAGCACTTCCAAGCGGGATTCGAACTCGGATATTGTAGTTTAGAGTCTCGACACGTTAAGCATAATGCCACACTGCCGCGAGTGTCATTGTATCACGAAGTGTTAAGCTGCATTGGATGACTATTCTTGTTTTCATACGAAATGATATTTAATCATGAAATGAAGATGAACGATGTTCTCTTCTTGCACCTCGATAAAGAGGGAATTTGAGAGTGTGTATTTTCTTAAAGTCGCCTTATGCGAAAATTATATTGAAAACATCGGTTCCAGAAGCAACCCAGGCAGACGATCCTTATTCTTACACTCCCATATTCGCAAGTATGAGAATAGGAGATGAGCTTTTCGAGTTCGCTGACAGAAATTTTCATTTGCCCATTTCATGAAGAAGCTGATTGGTCGGTACAAACTCAGCTATCATACTCCTTTTGGTTGTCTTAGCTTTTTTAATTGCTAAAAATATATTGTGTCTATATGGCTTAGCTTGGATAGAGTTAATGTTTTACAAACGGGATCTTTTGCTTTTGTCATTTGTTTTCTTCCCTAATGGGAATCGTATTCAATTTAGGTCACATAAAATGGCGGAAAAATTTTCCCACGATTCCCTTACATCTCATGAACTACTTTCATAATGGATAGGCCTTTTGTTTCGAATTCGGTATATCAAACGGGATTCGAGCCAGGGCAGTAGAGAGTACGTGACACTGCCATTGGCGCCTGTGGACCATTGAGCAGACTTGAATCTCAAGATTGTCGATGAAGTAAATGTGTACTTACTACCATATCTATCCAGAAAAAGTAGGTTTTAATGCTATCAGTAGAAATTGTTTTAGAATAGTGAAACTAACTTAGCTTATTGTGGGAAAATGTAACTGTCATTCCTTCATCAGCCAGTCCAAATGCAGTTCTCATTAAATCATTACTGATGGGAGCCAACGCAGGAGCATCTATTTATTTCTTCGCCTTGTTGAGTGGATAAATAAGAGTACAAATGCTAATTGTAATGCAATTCAATTACCTTTAATATGTGTCGTTCCACTTCTGTAGTCAATAGCGAATAGCTGCCATGATTTGGAATGAAATCAATGTCTAAGCATAAGACGTAGTCAGTAGGTGCGAAATCAAGCGCGACGTTGCGAAGAGCATTAATTGGATAATTGTTCTAAGCAAACATAAAAAGCATTAAATCGTAAGTTATAGACTGTCTTAGTAAAGAGGGATTTTAGTTACCCCTTCATAGAAGACCAAGTGATATGCGATATTTCGTCTTGAAAAAAGAGCTTTAGTTGATGCAACAAAGTTGGTAAGAAGCTTGACTTCGTCTTCTCTGATGTAGATAGCGATGCTGATTGGTCCAGGCCATGCCAGAGCCGAGGTTTCCAGACGTAAAATTCTAAAAAATGGAAAGCAAACAGTGCTAGCAGACATTGAGATAGAAGGTTTTAGCAACTCTGCAGTTACTCACTTAAGCAATGTGGTTCTGCCTACTTGCGATATGTGAGTAGTCTGTTCAGAAGGTAGCACAAATCAACAGAAAATATTAATAAGCCATATCCAGACAGCCCATCGACGACGAAGAACGGAGCCTTTTCTCATGCTTGCTAACACCATTTGGTATAAATGGAAGCACGCAGCAATGCCAGACAGACTAAAACCCTGGCTTTGCTTCAAGAATGGCGTAATCACGGTTAAGCCAATTGGGAACGTGCTCAGGTCGAAACTAATCTAAATATAATGTTGAAGAGATTTTTCATTTATGTTTAGGAAGGCAGAAAGTTCGATTAGGTAGCCTTGAAAACCGAAGTTGATAATCTCGGATGGCTTGCCATATCAGCATATTGAACTTAGTGATACACATCTTGTCTGAAAAATTCAGCTATTCTATTTTCTTTTGCATATTCATATGGCTGCTATGCAGTCAAATTGAAATAGAATTGTAAGAGCTATTGGTAAATGTAAAGGTTAGCCTCGGGAAGATTTGCAAATCAAACTTATTAATTAGCTTAAATTGCTCCATTGCAGAGGCAGATCTGAAACAGCAACACCGTTTCGACACCGGAAAGAATTTCCTCTCTCCTTTTGATACCACTTTTCCCACCATGCAAGTGTAGAATCTGAATAAAGTCATCTTTTAAAGATCAGCTGATGTATGAACTAGTATTCCAGATTGTAATTGGAATCATGAATAATTCTACAATAAAAGTCAGAATTGGCAAAGTCCTGAATTATGTGAAAAGTCATATTTGTTCTGTATGCATTGAAGTGGCACTCGTGACTGTGTAGTTAATTGGCAACGAGTCATGACCCTGTGCGCATTACTCAGGCTTGAATCCCATTCGAGAAGCCAATAAGATGATGCCCAAACTATAATCTAATCTGAGTGGTAAAACCTTTCCAGAGGCAGGAGCAAACGAAGTTTCCTATAATGCTGCAGCTCGCCGATTGTGGGGAAAATTCCCAAATCGGTAATTACATCATTTCAAGCGAACGTGACGTAATGAATTTTTTATTCAATATCTATCATTCGTCTCGAAGCCTGCATAAACCTATCGACTAAAGAGCTGATATTCTAGTTAGATTTGAAGTGAACTGATCCCTGCATGAAAAGAGATTTGGAAGGCTCTTTGGAAACGAAACGACTTTAAGGCTGTGATATAGTTTGGAAAGTTCATAGCTAGGCCATTGTTTTTGGACGAAAAATGCTTTGAAAGTATCGTTTATCTATCAGCAAAAATAGAA